TGCCATTTTTGCTTATTTGCACAATAACCGCCGCCCAAAATTCTTTTTCATTTCAGAAAAAGGTTATAGCAATGGGAAAATTACCTTTTGTATATTTTAATGTATTTAATGCTTTTAATTTGCAAATAAAATTTTGAAATTTCAAATTCATCGCATTCTTTCATTTAATTTCCCACATTTATTAATTTTTGAATATTTAATCATCTAATCCTCTTTTTTTTTCTCATTTTAATTAATTGCTAAATTTCTTTTTCTTGAAAATTTAAGCTGTAATTTACAGATTTTTACTTTAAATTTTCTAATTCTCATATTTGATTCAATTATGGGTACAATTAAACATAAAAAAGAAGTAAGTACTACTTTATATGGTACTGTATAATGTATGAAATAATATAAATTTAAATATGTGTTATTGAAGTATATCATAAAGTGAGATATTAGTAATAAAAAAAAAAAGTTAATAGAAGAATTTGAAAATAATTATCACAATTAATTAAAATGTTACAAAAAAGAAAAAGAAAAAAGAATCATGTCTTTTTTTTTTAATTTTAAATTAATCATAACAAATCTTACTCTATTTTTTTTTTCCTTTTTCTTATTCATTTTAAAATTACAACAAAGTATATGGGTAAATAAAAATGTTAAATGATTTCACATTTCATTCATTCATTCATTGTTCATTTCATTTTGTTTGTTGATTTATTTTTCTAAATTAACCGAACAATGGACGATTGCTTCTTAGCTAATCAATGTTTTGTTTACGACATAAAATTCAATTCAATAAGCAAATTTTATATTTTGAATATAAATGAGAAAAGCGATGAAAGCTAAGCTTGTTGGCATTCTAATGATTTTCATTTAATTTCTACAAAGTCATCCTCTCTTCCTAGTAATGTGACAATATAGATAGATTAGTGTCTCTTTGAAAATGTTTAAAATAATAGTAAATTTTCACATAGTAATTTTTCCATTTATTCATTTATTTATTTATTTTTTTAAGAAAAGAAAATAGAAAAAGCAAAGAGAAAATGAAGATAGAATGAGGAAAGAAATAGAGATGAGGAAGAAATCGAAAAAAAGATAATCAAATAAATTTAATAGCTATACAAATATAATCAATTAGAAAATGATTGGGTTAGGATTCATTAAATAAAATGAAAATATTAAGTGAGAAGAAGAGAAATGTTAGATACATATACAAATTTGACAAATTATTGATATCTTTTAGTATCAATTAACCCAATAGGGTTGACAAGGTCAAATGCTTAACGTTTCATCTTTTAGGCTAATTAAGCTTTATAAATTGTTTATAAGCTTTGAATTTTTTCTCTTTCTTTTCAATCATTTTTCTTTTCCGATATTTTATTGCTAAATTATTTCAATTAAGCAAATCAAATTTTAGAATATAAATGCTAAAAATGAAGCTAATCAAAAATTACATTCCTTAATTAATATAAAATTAAAGGTGGAATAAAATAAAACTAAATCCATTTATCATTAGTTTGCTTCATTTGTTCAAATTTGATATGTGAAATGATTAAATGCTATGATGAAGTGATATCCGACAATTCTTTTCTTGCAGTCAAATAGATATTATCATTTCATATAATTAATTAATTATGTATTAAATAAATTTCGATAATATTTCTATTACTGATACATGAACAATGACATTCCCAGACGTTATTTATAAGTGTTTTTGTATTTTCTTCTTTTCTTAAAAGCAAGAAATGGAATTTAAATGAAATTTTCCATTATGATAAATTTGACTTTCAAAATAGTTTCTTAAATTTCAAAATAATTAGAAAACATTCCTTTTTGTCTAATTACATTTTACAATATGATGAAAATACATATTTCATTCCCATTTTATAAGTTGCTTTTATCTTACAAAAGCAAATATTCATAGTTTTATATTAGAATTGAATTGAATTAATTATTTCTTAGTTAAAATTAGCTGCTAATTAATAAAGTAAGGTATAGTTAGATGAAAAAAAAAAAATTCACTAATCCTTAAGCTAAAATTACTAGATATATTGAAATTTCTTCAGTATAATAAATCTTTAGTTTTGATATTTTTACTTTCAACAATTATCAGTATCAATTATAATTCATTAAAGATTATTGTTTCATCTTATCTAAACTAAATTAAGATTAATGAATGAATGATGGATGGATGAATGGATGAGATTATTCGAGAAGATAGCATATTATAAAGTATAACTTAACTATAAGTAATTCCTCTCTATATGATTGATTAGTGTTTAGATATCTTTCATAAATGATAATGAGACAGACAATACGTCGTGATAATTTCACGAATAACTGATCACTGTGATTCATTAACTATATATGAATTTAAATTATTCAAATTTTACATATGCTCAACATATTTCAAATGTATGATAGTATTTTCTAATTAAACAGGAATAATAATACGGATGAAAAATGTAATATAATCGTAATATTCCTAAGGAATTTCAAATTTTTGCTTTTTCTAATTGAATAATACATGTTGTGATAATATATCAACTGGATGATAAGTAATGCAGAAAATTAATTAAATTAATTTTAATTAATAAAATCACACATTATTATTATTATTATTATTTATGAAACATACATTAATGAATAAAAAGTAATAGCAGAGAAATTTTCATTAACCTGAGGAAATGCTCATTCCGAGATAACTTACCTACACTACGTTACATTTTACGATGAAAAATGAAGCTTAAAGCAGAAATCACTCAAACTTCTCAGAAATGACACATTTTTTTTTTTTTTTTTTGCTTCTGTTGAAAATCATCAACAAAATTAAATGACTAGAATTTATAAAATAACAATTAGAATACATACTGTCAAATAATCCATGCAAAAGTATTTCTCCAATTTAGCTAACAAATATTTACGACCATTTGTTTCATTGTTATATATAAATGTTTGCGAATTAAAATGAACTGAACAAGTTTAACTTTCTTTAGCTTAACTTTGTTATGAAATTGAATTTGGAAAAATATTTTAGAAGAAAAAAAAAAAAGAATGACAAAGTAGCTAATTAGCATATTCGAAGGTAAAGAGAGAGAGAGAGAGAGAGATTCTTTGCCTCAACGTTATGGTTACGATTTATCATATTGGATTAGGTTAGTAGTGTGCTATCGACATTGCGTAAAAAAAAAAAAATACTATTTAAAATTAACGTTTAGGATGAGATTCTGCAATTCCCAAAAGAATTGCCATTAACTTTGAAAACAGTTTATTGATAACTTAAACGGAGGATAGGATGAATGGTTTACTTTAACGGACCATGTTACAAAACCTGTTTTCAGGAGTACTGAATGCCTGGTTCATAAGTCAGAAATTATATTTATATATAAATTATATTTACTGAAATGATTGTGAGATCTCGCAAATAATACAGGAATTCAAGAACTATAATTTCTGGTACTTCAAATAAAATATTATCAGTAATTTTCTCTACAAAGAATATCAATCAGTGATAAATATTCTTTTAGAGAAAAATTTACAAATTAAAATGAGAACCATTGAAATCTCATTCATCTGATTTCTTCATCTTCTCTAGTGAAGATCAAATGGTTTACCTGCTTTGTGATCTCTATACAACAATTCTCTTTCACATTTTTATCATTTTCTTTTTATTATAGAAATAAGGTAGATCAGAAAAAAAAAAAAAAGTGCTATATCAATGTCGGTATGATCGATGATGTGCACGTGTTTCACGGCTTCTTGATCGTTGATGCGCACGAGTTTCACGACTTCTCGAACGTTGCTGTGAATGTCTTTTACGGCTTATTGGTCGTTCATTCCGATAAGATCGTGCATATTTCTTGTAATCCGGCGAGCTAAATTGTTCTTGCATATACAATTCAAGTAAACATATAATAGAAGAACATGAATAGATAGCGAAATAAATTGAAGTACTTTTAGCAAAATTCAAACCTTGAGCGTCTTCTTGAACGTTGATTTATCATTTTATCGCTTGATCGAGCTTTCTTCTCTTTCTCACTATACTTCTCCATCTTTAGCTTTTTATGCTCGATGTCTGACTTCTAAAAAAAAAAAAAAAAAATAACCAAACATTATTGATAACATCAAAGCTTCCAGTTATTCTATTTCTTAACTATTCAAATTATATGTTATGATTAGTGTACTACTGTCATTAAGTGATAGTCGATATAGTTAATAATAATTACAATTTTGCATCCAGTTATATTAATTTCATTCTATAAGTTTAATGCTTTAACATCTTTATGATATGAAAAATAAGAACGCTCAAGTAAAATCTTAAAGTTTACTAAATTTTTAATATCTTTTATTATGTAATCAATATGCCACTTAAATTTTTTCGGTTTATTTTTTGAAGTGCAAAACTGGAAAAATATTTCAACTTGCAATACTAACCTCTGCAACATCGGAATTGTTTACTCGTTTTTCCGATCCTATAATGAAAACACTGATTAGAATAGTATCATTTGTAAACTAGTAAATATCCATCAACTTAAGTCATAAAATCATAAAAACTCAATGACTATCAGGTGTTGGTAGCTAATCAATGTCTCCTTGAATGTCAACGAACGGTACATTTATGTACACAATCATGCATACTATTGTTTATCTTAAATAGTATAACTTATACTCAAAAAGTTATAACTATGTTTGGTAATAATAAATTTATCTCTACTAAATATTAGTGAATAGTTGTGCACAATTATAGAGATAATTAAACAATTACTCCCAGTTTGGAAATTATTGTTGGTCAAATCAATTCGTAATCATAATAATATGTTTTTCACTGTATATAGTTTTCTACTATGCTTCTAATGCTTCGAATATGAATCAAACAAAAAAAAAAAAATTACTTTTTCTTTTTACGTTTTTTAATTTTTTTTTTTTTAAAAACTACGTTTTTTGAACTATTCTAAAGCAATGGGCCTATTCATATTGTTTTTTTACAGATATAGCAGATATTGAAAAATTATATAATGAAATCCAGAATCGCCTGTGCAGTATTAATTATTACTGGATTGACGGAGAATATTGGTCAAGTATACAAAGGCAGGAAGTGGGTACCACCTAGGATGAATCCAGATTTATTTCCAGTAAGTTGAAAGCGAAAGAATGTTAAGAATTTCAACAAAATTACTAGATGAGAAATAAAACTAGAAAAATTTCTAAAACGTAAATGACTTGAAAAACTTTAAAAAATTTAACTCAACTTAAAACTTTTTGAGCAACAAATTTTAACCAAGTTAACTATTCGTTACTACAGGAACCTGAATTTGATTCATCATCACCAGAATGCATACCATATCGTGAACCTTGCGGTTTCTATAGTTTTACCATTAACGGTTATCCGCCATTAAAATGGGTCAAATCTTGGTCAGTTTGTCATTTTTATGATAATAAAATATGTTTATTCAATGAAGATCAATATTCATCGAAATCATTCCATAAATAAATGAATTTTCGGGATTCTACTTTTCTTTTTATCCTAAAAGTAATGACAGTACGTCAATCCCAGTTCTCTTAATCTAACCTAAATGTCATTTCATCTCATTATCAACCATTCAGTCAATTGCAAGCAAATTGGCGTAACCAAGCTTACTCTCATTAGTTTAAGAATATAGCAAAAGCAGAAAACATAACCCATTAGCATAATTACGTTAAATTAAATTTCCAATTCTGCTTATAAATGGACCTATTCTCCAGTATCCTTTTAGATTTTAAATTTGCAGCGATACAAATACAAATATGGAAAAATATCCAAATAAGACATTCAGTAACGAATAAGTAATTATTTAACTACAAAGAAAAAAAAAAAAACAATAAAATCCACTTATCAGTTGCCCTATTCTAAAAGTTGTTTAGTTGTTTAATCGATATCTTATTGTATTATCAATATTTAATAATAAATGACAAAAAAAAAAAAGGAAAAGAAATTAGAATTTTTTAGGTGCAGATGCGACAAAGATCATATATGTACGTATGAAAGAACGGATATGAAAATGCGAATTTATCGACATTCTTGTACACCAAAAGATTCCAAAGAATATGATTAAATTCTCTATTCTTTATTCTTAATTCATTTGCTAACAGATAATTCAGTTTTTTAGTGTATGTATGTATGTATGTGTATGTGTATGTGTGTCGAAAAATAACCTCCCTTCACCAAACTGAATTTTAAGCAACATTTTTTGAGTAAAAATTAAAACTTCAACAAACTTCATTTTATGTACAACATATTTTTTGATTTTCTTTTTTCACAGAACGAAAATTAAAGTAAATACAAAAAGCACCGTATAATGCAGTGATATTTTCTTCACTATAAATTATAGAAGAATAATTTTGGAGTGTAATTATTCTCTTTCTAATTTATAACTAATTTTCTTTTTCTTTTTTCTTTTTTTTTTTTTTCGTAAGAATAAGTGGGTCAAATAAAAAACAATAGGGGTCGAACTTTATCTTTCATTCTATTCTTCTTTCTAACAATTACGAAAGAATGGTGGTACAAAAATTAAGGAACGAAGAATTATGGCGAAAGATTTGTTAATTATAATGTGCCCAGTTTGACTTTTGATTGGTCTATGGATTTCAAAAAATGAAAGGAATGTGCATTAATTCAATTCTGTGCCTAAAAATTTTTCGGCAAAATAGTTTCCCTTTAAGTACAGGGGAAAACTTGTTATATAAAGAAATAACCTTGAAAATGATCCCTCTCTTTCTATAAACGAAAACAAAAATCACAGATAAATAAATTAAGACCTCTGTTAATTGTTTGAACATTGATCGCATGTCAGAATGTAAATTTCCATGTTCCTTTTGAATATTTTTTATATTTTTAAAGAATTTGAATATGTAATTTAAATTTATTTTTTTAACCCACAAATCTTATCTGTTAATAATTGTATATTCAAGCGATTAATTCATTTCCAAAGATGACCTACTTCTGCATTGAATTTATATGACATTTATTTGTCAATTATTTTATTTAGTCCTCAACATGTATCTTGATCTCATGCTCTTATTGCGATAGTTGAATGCAGAGGTTAGATAAACATGTTTTTTGGTGTGCAAATCTGATCAATCTATAGCAAGAAAGTTACAAAAATATAATGCCATGAGATGGTAAAAAGTTCATGTTAATCAACTTTTCCCTTTCAAAAAACCTACTTTTCAAATATTTTAAATCACGCTATGACGTAAACTAAAGACTGACAAGAAAGATTCTATTAAGTTTCGAATTATACAAAAGTTATAAATACCACATATAGCTTACCGTCCTTTCTTTTCCACTGGTAATTCTTGGCAACTGATTGAGAAAAATCAACATGTATCCGCCTATCATCAATCAGCACGTTATCCATTTTGAAGTAAGCATTTTCGCAACTTTGGACCTGCCGATATAGAAAATAAATAAACAAGCCAATTCACAAAATTTTTAAATTTTCATATTTCGCGCCCTAACAACTCTTTAAATCAATTTTTCACTCTATAGTACAAATGAATGAATCAAGAAATAAAATTCGTTAAGTAGCATCACTTTTCATCCACTTTCGAAAATTTTGCTCTTCTTACTTTAAACTTAATTTCTCTCGCACACAAGAAAAAAAAGAAAAAATAAATGATGAACCGAGATAAACAAAAATATCGAGTTAAACTCCAAATCTGGGCAATCCAACCTATATGCCTACAGCATTAAGAGATTACTTGCAATATTTTACCTCTTCAAATTCAATGAAAGCATATTGCAGTGAAGCACCCGTTTTCCTATCACGAATGACTTCACAGCATTTTATTTTGCCAAATCGAGAAAAAATAATTTCGAGATCCTGAAAAAAAAAAAAAAAAGACTGAACACTTGAAAAAACTCCGATCGCAGAAGAAAATTCATATAACTAATACTTACTTCATCCGTCGTAACTGGATTCAACTTGCACACGAACAAAACATTATCAGGTGGCTTCTCATCTGCGTAATGCAAATCGCCTACCTAAATTTAAGTGAAATTTACTGATTAATTTAATAAGAGTACTGTTTTGTAATTTTCAATCATTTAATGTGATATTTCCTGAGATAATTGAAAAACGGGGGAAGTTAAACTTAATATCTTTAGTCCTTTCACTGACTGGAATATTTCAACTAAATCAGTAACACCCACTGAAAAAAAAAAAAAAAACCTACAACTAGGGGCCAAAAGTCATAATAGGAGCATACCATTTCCAGAATTTGTGCCTGAGCAGCCATATCTTTGGCTTCAATTTCTTTTTGTATTTCTTCTTCAGTTTTACCTTCTTCCTCATTCAATAACTGATCCAAAGCAATTTGAGAAACCTGTAATTCACGGTGCACACAAAATTATTAAGGCTCTCTATTCACATAGTGTAACGCATATTCTGCCAATTCTATACAAATATCACTTCTCGCGCCAACTTTCCAACAAAACTTGTGATATCCATTTCTCAATCTATTAACGTTTCATTAGACTGTTTATAAAAAAACATTGAGAGAAGGGTGTAGTACATTTCAAATCTTGAGTTTTTCCGGAATTCAAAAGAATTAAAAATACTTTGAAAAAAAAAATGGAGAAATCTATCAAAAAATAACTGACATTTAAAAGATCAATTGTCGGGGATGGCGATCTACTCGGAAAGTGAAGTTGCTTAGGATCGTCAAAAGGATCATCTAATATAACAGTATGAGCTATGCTGCAACATAAGAAATATTCAGAAATTTTTGAGCAACCGTTAAGGAAATAATATATAAGTTGCAATGTCCGAAAAGCAAGAAATAAAACAATTTGCCTAAAATCAATAGAAATCAGAGAAAAAGTTCAATTCACCGTATATCCCGAAATGGCCTATTTTGCTCATCACATATTTCCTGATTCAACTTTTCTAATGTATCTAGTCCTTCGGTTACTTGTCCAAAAATAGTATGCTTCTCATCCAAATAATCTAAATTGTCACCTGAAATGAGTAACAATTATTCAGCAGCATCACCAAAATTGCAAACTCAGTACTTATTTATCACGGCCATGACATTTGAGCTCTGGTATTAATTTCAAAAAAAGTCGTACTAACCTAAGGTAATAAAAAATTGACTGCCAAGCATGTTAGCACCATTATTAACCATCGATACAATACCAATTCTGGTATGACGTAATTTAGGAACAAGTTCTGGCTCGAAATAACGCGCTTGATCACCATACAAAAAGCTGAAAATGAATGCTACAGCAATGTCACAGATTGCAAAAATAATAAAATTCAAGATCAAAAAATAATAAAGAAACGTACGTAAATACCGATTCTCCGCCATTTCCTGTACCAGTTGGATCTCCTGTTTGAACGACATAATTTTGCTGTAAAAAAAAATTGAAACAATCGGTTAATTAAAATTTAAAAAAAAAATTCATAAATTACATCTTAAGAAATAATGTAATCATATATAAGATTAAAATCCTCCATAAAACTATTGGTACTGTTACGAACTGATCGATCATGCAAAGTAAAACTTCATGATCAATAGGGCATATGTGGAAATTCGAACAAAAATATGCGAATGAACGATGCAGATTGTATAGAATGTATTTAATTTGCAAAACAATGTGAATATTTAACTATAAGTGACGAAAGAAAATATACATAAAAAGATACCTCAATCGCATGAAATTGGCAAAAATTATAATATTTCAATTTACACAACTTCAGAAAATTGAGGCAACCTGAAAAACGAATCAGGTGAAAGTATTTTATTATTCTAACTAACCAAACAAAAGTAACAATATGGAACTAATGGCAATAAAATAGGTATCGAAATAATTTATTTTCTGGGCAAGTTTCTAAACATTAAAAATTATTAGAAGCTGTAAAAAACTAAGAATTACAACAAAATGTCATCTTTTCCCCATCAAAAATATCAGAATTATTTGCACTCTTTTCCTAAACTAATGTTTACAGCATCGCATCACATTCTCTAAAGACTCGTCATTTCTCCTACTTAATTATCTATTTCAACCAAATTCTGCTTACATTGCGGTTTAATTTCTCCCTATTCATCCTATAATGTGTTCCAGTTCAATAAATAAAACTTACATCTCGGGCGTTCTTTCACGAACAAATCGATGACAATATCACCAACCGTCGTTTCAACTAGTACTGCCATATTACAAAAACATTTAGATGTGAGTTATGCTGAAATATATCACCACAACTATAGAAGAGAAACTTGCAAAAGTAGTTATTACTGGCTTAAAACCACATTTATGCAAAGCATGTCGACGAATCCTACCCTCGCCCCCCCCCTTCCCTCCGTTCCCCCTCTAGCCCGCCCCATTTCAAAAAGAAAAAACTACAGATACTTGTCCAAATTTTAAATACAATTTCTGTTGTGATCCATTTCTCAGTTCTCAAAAAATTGTGGAAGTTATTTAAATTACAGTATAATTTGAAAAAAGAAGTATCACATAAGCTCACACACAACTGCCTGTCACATAAGCTAAATTCATTAAATCGCAGTACTTCATTAAAATGGAGATCCGGATTCCAAGATTGAAAATGGAAATTCCACTGATACCCAACAGGAAAGATATTCAAATTTCGCAGCGATAATTTAAGCATTGCATAAGAAGCCGTTACTTGTTAACCAGAAGCTTCTTTAGAAAACAATTTTATACAAACGAAAAACTCAACATGATTTATAAATTTCATGTAATCAAAATGAAAAAAACAAACATGATATGACAAAAATATATGGAACAATTAAACCAATGTATTACAAGTGCTACAAAGAAAGCACTTCTTCCCTGAGTGCATTGATAATTTCTTCAGACCATTCCTCACGAATTTCATCCCAAGTTATTTCCACATGTTTTGGATAATCCGCTACTGATGTTAACGTGATTTCTCCGTCAAACATTTCTATACCATCCTGAAACGAGCATTTTTTGTGAATCATAGAACAAAATTCTGATATTTTCAAATAAATAAAAGCTTGTGAAAATCACTCACCTCCTTGACTTGCAAATTAGAGTCGTATAGTTTTAATTTAGAAGCAAGAAATTTCCAATTTACATGACCAACTTCTATAGTTTCACTAAAGGCAATAGTATGCAAGGATGTGCCTAACTGTCGCGCTGCTGCTTCTGGTGTTATAACTTCCAGTTGATTAGTCTTGAAAAAGAAGGAAGTTAAAACATACATACATAAGACTAATGCAAAACTAATATCTCATCTAAAAGCTAGTGAAAACCATTAAATTTACAACCTGTTTGTCCATAGTCAAGAAAGCACGGAAAGGACAAAAACGCTTGCTCGGTGTAGGATCCAAACTAATGCAGCGATCTAATATTTGCACAGGAATATTTAAAGATACATTTAAGGAAGTTTCAATAGTAACTGTTTCACCGTTAGCTGGTTTGAATACCTTTAAATTAAATTCCTGCAAAAAAAATTATTTTCAGTGCTAAAGAAGTTTGAAAGTAGATGTCAGGTAATATTAAAATAACTATTTGAAAGCTAACTTTCTCCACTTTTTCCTTCAAGAACTCCATTTTTGCATCTTCACCATGCACAAACATAACATTTCTTGGTTGACAATCACGTATAAGCTAAAACAATAATAGCATCTAGGTAAATCTATAATTTAATTCTGGCATATAGAAAAGACAGCAAAACAGTCTTCACTTAAATCATGTATGTCCAAAGCAACTGAAAGTATAATATTTGAAAAATAATGTAATCTACGGATATTTTTCAAAAAAAAAAAAAAAAAAATCTGACGCTTTACCTGCATTATGCCTTTCGCATCAGCATGGGCACTGAATGACATATATTCGACTCCCAAATTAATTTCTCTCTGGAAGAAATTAAATCTCAAGAAATTAACTTATTAAAATTACAGATATTCAGAGAACATGTACCAATTTGTACAGTTTTAGCCAACAAAAAATATAAATTAAAAAAATCAAATACCACTCTTCCGGCAATCTCAATTTTTTTCATTCCTGAAATCACTTTTGCTCCAACCGTATTAGCAACACAAAAACCAGGCATGATGATTAAATTTTTCTCGTCCGAACACCATTTTGTGAAAACTCTTAAAGACTGTCCACCATGCAACATACCTGTAATAATGTGTAGAAAAAAAAATTTCTACAAAATTCGATGACAGATAAATCAAACAAAAGTTTAAGAAAATCTTCATAACGAAAGCATCATTAAACAAAGACCGCTAATATGAGATTGCCTAAATTCAATATCTCCTTATAATCATTTTTAACTACTTTTTTCGTTTTCTTCTCTTCTTATTAAACATATTAACTTTCAAACTGTCTTTGTATTCAGTGAACAAATCAATACAAAACAGTGAACAAATCAATACAAAACAGTGAACAAATCAATACAAATATATACCTGGCGTGCTGAAAAGCACCATCGGACCAGGACTTTCAATATAAGATTGCTCGAAAGGCCTAATGTGCTTGAAATCAAACATGTTTCGCTCAACGAATGTCCTCTTGATCTTTTCATTTGTCCAGCTGATGAATAATCGATAATACTGAAAAAGAGAAATGAATAAATCTAGTGAAATAACTTTCAACTTCGTTATTCAGAAACTTCACGTTGAAATCCGATGGTGTATATCAGTTTTGACGCAAATAAAATACATGAAAAACTTGATGTGCTACCAATGAGATAAATCGTAACAATTTTTTAACTAACAAAGCTTGTACATATAAAAACACACTTGATTGGCTTTCTCTGCTAATCCCTGTGAGAAAAATATTGGATACTTTAAATTCATCCGCTCCCAGTATGATTCCAGTAAAATACATAATTCTTGAGCACGTCCAAGAGCGAAAACCGGAATCAACACCTTAAGCTCAGTGCATTATATACACAGCAGTGTCGCAAATGAAGCAATAAAAGTAAACAAATCCTTCTTGAGCCATAACCTAGTTCGTCTACAGTAAGCAGCGAAAGAAAAACCTTTCCACCATTCGATACAGTGTCATGAACTTTTTTCAAAAAATCTCGTTCGCGAGCACGCTTTGAATCTCTTATAGTTGTCGCATAAGTACTTTCTGATATTAGTAAATCAGGTTTGAGGCCAGGTTCAACACGCGCAGCGCCCAGATGTCGATCAGGTGTTGTATTGAAATCGCCTTCAAATTTCAAGAAAAAGTGAATACAGCTGTTTAATTCTGAGAACTTCGATTAAGAAAACAGAATTACGACTAGTAACCGCCGAAATAAGAAGTAAAAAAGGCTCAAAGGAAGCGTGATATTTTAGATCGAGTTAGTGCGCTAAAAAGTTTCAAATCACTTCATTTCAATCTGTACCTGTATACAAAACGCTTTCAGAACCGACCATAATTTGAAACATTGCAGCACCAAGCACGTGACCCGCATAAAAAGCTCTTATCGACAATTCATTATCTACATCGATTTTTTCATGTATATTTATTGCGATTACCTGCAAATTATGCAGTGCTGTAAGAAATGACCAAAAAAAAGGAGTATAAAATTGAATTTAACCTTTTTCATGCAGTTTTTGATCATTTGCGAAGTGAAAAAATTCTTATCTCCTTTGAATTCAGTCTGAACTTTGCGATAATCCTCCTGAAATTATTATAAAATATACTAATCAAAGAAACGATTTAATAATGAAACCGGAATTATCCACTAAACACTCTCTTTTTTCTATAAATTTTGAAAACCAATAGACTGAGAAGCAGCACTAACTCTAAAAACAAAAAGACAAGTTGTCCTGAGGTAAGAACCTCAAAATTGATCAATAATTTTTACCAATAAGACAGGTGCAATGGCTTTGGTTGGATACGTCATATAAATTGGCCCATCATAGCCAACAACTTCGCTCATATGAGGAAGTGAACCACAATGATCCAAATGAAAGTGAGTTATGATAACACAATCAAGGAATTCAGTTAAAGATCCACCACCATTAATAAAACTAAAAATGTATGTATATATAGTCTTCCGGATGAAATATTTAACACTCCAGCCGAAAAACTATTGAACAAAAGATGCGCGGTTTAAAAATCGATTTAAAAATTTTTTACGAAAGTTCGTTATAATCTTTATGTAAAAACGTCAACATGTGGGCATGTTTCTCAAAAAAATCCAAAAATATCAGCTAAATCTATAAAATAAATTTAGCAAACTAACGAGAAATCAGGAAATCGTCGCTCATCGGAATAACCCATATGCATACCACAGTCAAGCATCACATTCCTGCCACCAATGGACACCAATATACAGCTTCTACCAACGTCTCGGCCAGCACCAAGTGGAACTACCTTTAATGAATACAACAAAATTTGCTATACTGTTCACTGTGCCCAATCTGAGCTTCAAACATGCAAAAGAATTTACTAATTAAAAAATTTTAAACTTCAAGTTATAAACACTTCTCCATCTGTAGGTTATTTAGATTAAGGAAAGGGATTAAATACCAGTTCAAGGAGATTTTTAAAAACGAGAAAATGATGTAACATTTATCTACTACGATATGCATACTTTAAAGCAGAATGATCTGGACAAACACGCAAAAAAAAAGCATCATGACATTTTATGTTTTAATCCAAATTTTTAATGGATGCGAGAAACCGGACATTTTAATCTGAACACACACACACAAAAAAAAAAAACATAGTGACATCTTATGTTATTGAAAACTTATCATGACTTACCTTAATTTCAGGCATTTTGATAGGTATAAATTAGTTTCCCACGTACTGCAACATTTCTAGAATAGAATATAATCCGGGTAAATCAGACTCCTGTTAGATTCCTGTTATTTTTTCCAACTGTTAAATTTCTGTTTTTTCATAACCGACAATTGTAATCATATTGTCATTTTCGTTTCCTTTAAGTCATGGAATGATACATTCAAATTACGTGTAAAACCACAAATAATCAATAATCGTTCACTAAAGATGACCGAGACATACCAGAAGCATTCACCGGTATGTCCCAATGATATGGAAGAAGGTCACGAAAGAGAATTTGTTCGTAATTTCATCCGTTTACTCAGTTAATTCTCATAGCTTGTATCGATCTCTGCCGTCTTTTCAGCAACAGCATCTTTTGCATTTATTCTCAAATTCAAACATTTTTGCAGTCTCTGACATTTTGCTCTCTCTTTCTCTCTTCAATCCCGATATTTTCCATAAGTCTCTCAATCCCTCCAGTTTTCCTTCTCGCACCGATACCAACACACCAACCACCGAACCCTTCGGGAGTTACCAGTAGTCTCGAACAGTTTCGCCCGGTACGCTGCATTAGCATTGCATGCAACGAATTATGAAACGGAACTAAGAGTTAAGTGTTTATGACGAAGGCTTCTATCCCTGTGACATGCATTTTTCGAGTGATATCAGTATGATATCATTATCATCGTGGGAAGCAGTTCAATCATTGTTATCATTTAGATGTATTATCATTATTATCATTCAATTTCATCACTACTATTATTGAGATACAACTGTCCATATTGAAATTGCTTACTTCATAGCAAAAGAAAAATTCATTTCGACAGACTTTTGCTTACATTTTTCACGACAGAGTTCTAAGGTAAGCATTTATGCAATTATATAATTGATAAGTGAAGGTAAGCACATCAAAAGTTACGTATGGTTGGTTGAATGAACTGAGGTTAGATGGGAAAATTTTAGATCACCAGCTCAGTTGGATCACCAGTTCAGTTTAGGTCACTAGGTCAGTTAGATAACAACTTCAGGTTATCAGCTATTTTCTTGTTTTTTTTTTTTTGTTTGCGTTGAGTTTAATCTGTCCGAGAAGTTTGTACAAAACTTTACTTGATATGAAACACATACAAGTTAGGTATATGTACAATTTCAAGAAAAAAGAAAAGAAAAATAAAATGCAAAAGATTTGCAATAGAATAAACATTTCGAATAGAGCGGAAGAAATAATCAATATACTTTTGTTTGAAAACAATGTATCATTAATAAAAGTTTGAAAAATTTAATTAAGCATAAAGAATATAAAATAAAATGAATTTCAAACTTCCAAATAGAACTATGTTTATACAAAAAAGAAAAAAAAAGGGCATAAGAGGAACATAGAAATAGTATTAAGAAAAAGGAATAAATTTTAATAAATGATAATTAAATTGATATGTCAAAAATGAATCCAATATTTTTCTTTTTTTTTTTTTGATATACAAAGAAATAAAGAATGAAAATGAAGAAAAAACAAATTGGGAACAAATTTATTTTAACGTAACCTTTCTTTCTTCAAATGAAAATTCAATTCATTTCAAAGTATGTTTCTCTCTCTCTTTTATCTTCATTTTTTAACAGATAAGATATATTTAATAGTGGAAAATATTTGAAGTATTCATTTTTTTTTTTTTCAGTTATATTTTGATAAGCAATGATACTAAAATTGTGAAAAGTAATCAAATGTAGCACAATCATTCATCTTTTCGCAGTTCAATTATGTAATATTTTTCAATCATTTCATCACAAGAATAATCTTCATTACTGAAAAAATTTTTCTAATTAATTTAACAAATTTCCATTATTAGCGCAAATAATTTGCAAATAGTATTTAATCGATTTGCATTTCATAAATTTTTTTTTATGTATGCAAATTAATAGATTCAAATTATTTTAACAAATAAAAAATTACAAAAAGTATTTAGTAAGCATGAAGATTTTTGGTTGTAATTATTTTTTGTTGTATTTCAATGAATAATAAATGGAATTATTTAAGATAATAAAATTACTAAAAAAAAAAAATTTTTTTTTTTTTTTATACAATCACTTAAATTCTGTTTCTCACTATATTTTTCAATGATAATGATAATAAGATTAAATAAGCTTACGTCAAAATTCCGCCAAAATTTCAAATTATTCCATGCTTTCGGTTCACGCAACTCGTAGTAATTTGCGTACAGTCAGTACGTTTTCCATCTATATAATATTTTAATAATATCAAAGAAATAATTATCACAGTGAAGAAATTTTATGATAAAGAAAAAAAGATTAATCAATCGTTTATATATTTAAGTTTTATGGATATCTAATTTACAAATAGATAATTTTATCATTTTTATTCGGACGAGAAAGTTATAAAGATTAAATTGAATGTTTTCTTTTGATACTCTTTGATTGCTAATTTATGTCTTTCTTTTTTTTTTTTTTCATGAATGTTACTGAATCGTTGTTTATTACCTTACCTGAAATATCAATCGGTAATTGAATTGGTTCAATTGTTGAAGCAACTGAAGATGACATTGATGCTAACTGCTCCTCTAATTTAATGGATTCAACAATTGGTGGAGATGCAGTAGTAGTAGCATCGTCATCTATCATTTCATTATCCATGAATAATTTTATCTCCGATACATTCATCATCAGTGGTACAATATTCCAGGATGTTGCAGTAGTAAAGTTATACCCCTCTTCTCCTTCTCCTTCTTCTTCTTCCTCTTCAATTGTTGACAATGAAGTGCTATCATCAATAATAGTTTCTAAATTTTCAGTATTCCTTTCTGAACGTTTATCATTTTCTAAGATTGAAATAAATTTCGATGGTTCGGTATTATTCATTGTTTCCATAACTAATATAGTTTCATTTACATTTGTCATTGCTATTGCTAATTCAGTTGATTTATTTCCTGTAAAATCTGCTACATAATCCTGAAATTTGCAAAAAAAAAAAAGAAAAAAAGAAAGAAGAAATGTATTTTTTTTAATTTAACAAATTATAATGTTAAGAAAAAAAAAGAAAAATTTACATGTAACAATTAATTATTGCTTATTCTTTTATCACTTTATTAATCTAAATTAAAATTGAAAAGTTTTGATTAAAAGTGATAGTTTTTTTTTTATAAGAAATTAAAAATTTTCTCATTTCCAAATATAGAATTTATATTAGAAATGATAATAAATATTGGAAATGATACATGGAGTAAAGCAAAACAAAGCTTACATCACTTGTGATTAATGGTAATGTTGAAATTGACGTAACGTGAAGTATGACGTATAGAAAATAATAATATATTGAATTCATTGCTTATGAAATATCAAAATTATTTCACTTATAAACTGCAAAAAAAAAAAGAATGAAAAATCTTAAATGGCATAAATGATAACATTAAAGCATAAATGATAACATCTGTGTTAAATTACAATAAAAGATAAGAAAAATAAGTATTATCAGAAAATATAAGACTGAGTTTTCGTCATTTTATCATTATCAAATAATACTATCAAAAAGATATTTGTAGAAGCAAAAGAAAAGCGCGTAATTATGATCATCTTAATTGAGCTTAATTGGTCATGACATTCATTTAAAATACAAAAAAAAAAAAAAGGAATCTACCGCCTAATATGAATGAATTTGAATTTAAGATTTGATATGATTACAAAGATAGATATCTATATCTAGAAATAGATAACAAAGATAATCAAAATGAATAGATCAATCATTTATCATCTGCCTTAATTGGCTATCATTACAAATTTTAAAATAATCGAAAATTTAAAATTTAATTTAAAATAATCGAAAATTTAATTTTAATCAAATGGTTGCATTTCTGCTTGAAAGTTTATCCATTCAATGAAATAAATACAAGTAAAAAAGATTAATAAATAAAAATTCAAATATAATTAAAACTGAAATTTTCATAAGTCGATTAGTCTTAACCATTTGATGAATTGAAGAATTATTATCCTAGACTTAATTCATAAGGTATATAGATATGGGCCAGCCTAGCTAGGGTACAAGTATCACATAATTTCTGGCTTATTTATGAATTGAGTCAGTATCATCTATGAGTTCAATCAATAGCAAAATCTGTGTTACTGCTTTTTGTTTTTTTAATTGAAATATAAATTTTAAAAAAGTTTACATATTTGGAATGATTGGATGTTTTAGGGAAGATAAAAAATTTTTTTTAAGAATTTAACCAATAATAATTGATAACATTGAAGTGGATCAAAAAAAATGAGAGCTTAAAATTATTTTTGTAAATAAAATAGTTTAAATTCAAATTTGTTAAAATGTTTAATAAAAAATTAATTTTGATAAAATTTAATAAAAAATAAAAATTGTCAAAATTAGTTTGACAATACCAGAAAGATTCATCATTGCAAGTTTTACAAATTTTAATTTAACAAACTTAACATTTTTAGAAAATAATAGCAAACGAAATAGAATGGCGCATTTTTTCATCAGATTATAATAAATAAAATATTAAACAAAAAAATTTTCCTCTTATCATCAATTATGCATAGAAAACACTAAATACTTTTTAATTGAATGCTACTTTTACAGAAATCAAAATTTAAAACTTAAAAAAAAAATTTTAACTTAGTGAAAAGAAAAATGAATAAATTATAATTGAAGTATTTTTGGGTGACATTACCTTTCTAAGGAAGGAAAAAAAAAAAACTTCAAAAATTTGCAATTGCTGAAAAGATGATACTATTCATCTGTCTATTTTTAAAAAAATATTTAATTTACGTACTAATAAAAGAATATTTCAAATATATAAATTTATTTTATTATAAAAAATTTTATTTGGTAGAAGGACAAAACTTTTGAATTTTTTATATAATTTTAAAAAAAAAAACGCACAATTTGTATTAAATATTTAAAATTTAAACGTGAAAATGATAAAATTAAGAAAAAAAAAAAGCGAAAAGATCAGAATTAGATGAGAAATTGCGGGAATTTTCAGATCAAATTTGAGAATTACTTAAACAATCAGTGAAAAATACATTTAACATTTGAGAAAAAAGAAAGTGGAACGCATTCATACATAAAAAATAAATTTCAGATGAAAATTTTTTAAAATAAAAATGGAGAAAAAAAAAACGGAAGAAGGAAAAACTAATGAAAGTTTCTTTTTGACATACTTTAAGAAAAAAAAAAAATTTTTTTTTTTTTTTAAAAATTATTTTATCATTTTTGAATTAATCATTTATTCCGATAGATATTGACGTTAATTTCTTTCATCTTACAATATATTTAATATGAAAAAAAAAAAAAAAAGAAGAAAAATGAACAGAAAGAGTTTGAAATTTTAAAAGAAATTAAACTGGTCGTGTTATATCGATGAATTTAAATTGATTTTGTCATAGCAGCGAATTTAAATTTGTTTATTAAATGATTGTTTTACATTAGAGGAGTAAAATTAATCGCGTTATGTCAAAAAATAAAAATTAATTTCAGCTAAATTTGATTAAGATAATAAAAAGGCAAAATTTTTTTTTTAATTTTATTAATTAAATTTTTTTTTTTTGGATATTTTATTTATTCATTTTATTTGCTATTTTACATTTAGTAATTATGAGGCAGTAAATATCAAAGAGTATTTTAGCAAACTATCATTCTTATTTTAAAATATTTTATCCATTGTATATCAAATTGATAAGTTATCCATCAGTTAACCATTTGATGTGACAGTTTGCTTATCTAATGATAAATTTAAAAGAGATAAACTTAAATTAATTAATTAATTTTGCCTTTGAACAAATGCGTCAATTTTTTTTTAACTGCGAAATTCAAAACTCTTTCAATCATATATTTCGATATTGAATGTTATAAATCATTGTTAATAATATAATTTAATTAATTTACTGAAAGAAATTTTGTTTTTTTTTAAATGAAAAGAAAAAAAATTGAAATATTTCTACAATATTAAATTTTTGTTTTGACATTAACTTTTATTTAAATTATTGTGTAATAATTCATTTAAAGTTTTATTATCCATAACAAATGAAATATTGTGGAATGAATTTTAAGTTGCACTTTAAAATTTAATTTAAACAAACTTTGTGAGGGAAAAAAAAATAGCTAACAATTAAAATAGGCATTTTTTGTATTAAATAGATGTCAACGAAACAAATATTTCTAATACTTCATTGTAAGTTGTTATAGTTCTGAAATTTTAATTATTGAAATTTTTATTTCTACAGAAAAAATCAAAATAAAATATTATGAATTCTTGAAGTTAAAGCAATTAGTAGCAAACATTGTAAATATTTATTATTTATTTGAAAATATAATATTAATAAGAAAAAGAGCAGTAATAAAAAGAAGTATAAATAATGTAATTTTTAACTTTCATTAGAATTTTTACCATCAATATTCCATGATTTTTAAAAAAATTAAAATTGAAAATTAAATTTTCATCTGTTATCTCTTTTATTTTTTTTTTTTAAAAATGTAAGTGCATAATATCAAATTACTTATTTGTCACTTTTTAACTTTCAAATTTTTTGTGATAATATAGAAGGTAAAATTTTAATTGTGATAAGCATTAAGAATGTTAGGAGTTTTTCTGCATATACATCTTATCAATGCATTATCAATATATGAAATGATAACGTTGACTATATGTATAAGCAAATAGTCAATGTTAATACTTTAGTTTTGTTTAAATTAAAAATAAATTGAAAGTGTCATTCATTTCTATGAAAACATAAAAATGATAATAAATTATTGTCGTTGCTGCACAATCTTTCGGTTTTTCTTCATTCTTTCAATTATTTTTATTATTATTTCAATTCTTTTATGGATTATTTTTACTCCATTATTCAATGCTATTTTAATTTCAGTAAGTTTATTTTTCATATATTAAATTAAAGTAAAATAAGAAAGAAAAAATGAGGAAGAAAGCAAAAATATTTTTAATAATAATAATGAAATAATAAGTATATAATAATTATTTCGAATGGATGTTTTAATTGATTAAATGAAAATAGAATTGTTATTTTAAAATAATTCGTTGAAAATTTCAAGCAAAAAAAGAAAAAAAATCTAAGAATATAATGGATAAAATTACTTTGATAATGCCTTAACATATAAGTAACATTACCTTGATAATACCTTAACACATAAGTAAGATCATTATTTTTTAAGTTAAAAAAAAGTTTTTCTATTTTTATTACTGTAGTATTTTCTTTTTGATAACAGTTTCGAGAAATATTTTCTACCAAGAATTTGAATTGAATTTATTTATTTCAAAATATTGCATGTCATATTTTCATTTTCTGAATTAATGGGAAAAAGAATTTGAAACATTTTGAAGTGTTAAATAATATAAAATATTAGATTAAATAATTGAAGTTAAGAAATATCAAATAAAAAATTGCAAAAATTGCAAAATTTTTTTTTTAAGAATTAGGTTTAATTAAATTAACAACAGTATTATTTATTGTTAGTAGTTAGTAGAAGAAAAAAAGTTATTCAGCAAAATTGAGAAAATAAATTTTGAAAAAATTGAAATAGGTCTAATCTCAGCTATTTCAAATATCATTCATTCAAATTTGCAATCAATAGATAGTAAAATTAATTGAAATAAAAAGAATTTAAAAAAAAAAAAATTAATAATTTTATTATGTATGAAGGACTAATCAAATTAGATTTAATTCATAATTTGATTTAATTCAAATGTTACCTGAAATTATATTTCAACAGGTATTCTAAGAAATGATTTCAATTTAGAATATGGTACTAAAAACTACTGACCATGGTCAATTGTCATCTTCTAGTATGTTATGGGCTAAGCCACCAATAGATGTCACAATGTCTTTCACTTTCTTCAACATCACTAACAGCCAACAGGTTTCAAATCTTTTTCAATTAATTATACAATCATTGAAACGATGAAATACGCCAGGTAATCACTCTCACAAATAATTTATCTCAAAACAAAACGTCAAAGTTTTTTTTGACGGAATTGAAATGCGTGAGTGAATTGACGTCGAAGAGAAAAATACGTTGTGTGAAACGTGTGAAAAGTAAATGAGTGACGGAAAGAAATGTGAGCATTGTGATGCATAGATGTGAGGTATATTAAAGCAAACGTGTTAATAAAAATGCTTTGACGTGCTTGACGTGGAATAAGTTACATTAGCGTGTGAATGAGTATACGTGGGTGTATTTTAATTTGCTACGTATGTGTAAGCTATGTTTGAAGATCAAAAATTATTTCGAGTAGAATGAACAGAAATTTTCGTCTCACAATCATATTTACCTTTCTTTGAAATTAATAAAATGCAATTAGCATTGTTTACGATTAGCTAACTGTAAACATTGTTTCCCGTACATTTAGCATTTTAATCTCGATCGAATGAATGTTAATACAAATATATTTTCTGAATTTCATATATTTTTTGATTTTCAAAAATTTACTAAATTTCACATAATTATTGCATTTTTATCAAATTTCAGGTGCAATATTATACAGCAAAACCAAATGTAACCGAAAAAGGAGTTTTTTCTTTTCGGTATATCATTATTTTTAATTAATTAAATAATTGAATAGGATGAAATAATAATATTAAATGTATTGTTCAAACATTTGAAAATTCTGTCATTCGTTTAGTGTGAATTTATTTTGAGCCAACAACTAACAATGCTAATTATTAATCTTTTAGGATGACAGAAACAAAGAAAGATTTAAAATTTAGCAAAGATGGCAATACAGTTTATTACAAAAGTTACAAACAATACTTTTATGAACCGAACATGTCGTGTCCTTCGTGTCGCGACAATCCGGAATTGATACTTCCTAATGTCGCAGCATTGGTACTTCTTCTGTTTCATTTCTTAATTCTATTTTTTGTCACCTTTAGAAATAATTTAGGATTTCTACTTTTTATAGTCTTTAAGTATAATTTAGGAATTTTACTTTAAGGTGGTTGTACAATACGATATCATTATTTGCAAGTTTTATTCGAACTCTTTTTAAGAATGAATTAATAATTAATTATGGATTAATTTTAGACCTTAAATTATTATTATTATTTGTTACTATTATTCAGAAATTCTAAGAAAGAATAATTTAATGCTAAAGTTCTTCGAGCATTGACCAAATTCATTTGATGAAATAATTGATTTTCCATAATTTTTCTTTTCTCACTTTTAAGTAAATTTATTTTTCTATTTTTTTTTTTTAAATAATAAAAAATTTGAAAACATACTGATTGAGGGAGCAATAACAACAATGATTGAAGAGAAAGAATGTGGTCCAACTTGTCGCTTAATAATTGACATCGGTTTGCTTCTTATGGGCGAATATCCTTTTCGGTATGATTAAACTGTCATCAAATTTCTATAAATTTTACACTACCAAATAATAAATATTTCACTAATTTTTCTAATTACTAAAATTAAAAAAATTAAATGAAAAAAAAAAAAGAGAAAAAAATTGTATTCAGAAGATTAAAGCCATTGAATGTTACATTTTATGGATACAACGATGCATTGCTTTCGCTCACAAATTCTCCTATTTTCAAATATTTTGGTGACAAATTTAACGATGGTAAACCAATTATTCCACTCAAAATTCCTCATTTAAAAAATTTGGCTTTATTTTACAGAGTATGTATTTGTCATTTTCTTAAAAAAAAATTTTTCATATATTTAAATAAAGAAAAATATTTATGTTAGTCACAATTTTCATTTTATATTTACCCTTTTTTTTTTAAAAAAAAAAAAAACAAGAAGTTTAAACTAAAAAATGAAACAATTAAATATTTCATTATTAAAATTATTACTAATCATAATCATAATTATTGAATAAAATTTTAAGATACTTAATAATCCTAAATTATTTCTCATTAGAATAATTCAATGCTTCCTTTCTCCTTCATTTTGTTAATTTTTATTTTCTATCGTTGATGTAAGTTTTTTGCAAAAGTTTACGTAAAACTTTACGTAAACTTTTACGTATTCAGCTTAATAATTCGAATGATGAAGATTATATTATTGAAACGGGTAAGAAAGATATTAATTCAATTGGTGCAATTCAAAATTGGGCTGGATCCAATCATTTACAATTATCATGGTGGCAAACTAGACAAGCTCGAATGATTAATGGAACTGGTCACTCGTTTTATTTTAATTTGAAATTTTTTTATTTTAAATTTAAAATTATTACATTTTTTTAAATTTGTGAAATTTTAGTGAAAATTGCATATTTATTGAATATGAAGAAGATGTTTAAAGTGAAAGTATAAAAAAGTAAAAAGTGAAATTTTCTTAATTTATATTTTCACAGCAAAGTATATGCATTACTAATAATCAGATTGATTTCTTTGCAAAAAAATGAAAACTTTATTTTTAAAATTTCTTTTTCAAAAAAATTTTTTTTTTTTTGGTAAAATAATTTTAAATTTTAGATACCGGAAGTTTTGCACCGTTTCATTTAACGCCCAGTAGTATTCTTCCATTTTTCAGTTCATTTTTGTGTCGGTACGGTCATTTGTTTTTTTTTTTAATTTCATATTAGTATTTTTTTAAAACTTTTAAATTAAACGAAATTGCTTAAACAAATAATAAATTAATTAAACTGATTTTTTTTTAAAAAAAGAAAATAAAATTTATAATTTATTTTATTTCTGTTTCTTATACGTTTTTCAGATCATTTGTCGCAGAATTTTCTAAACATTCCACTTATAAAAAAATGAAAAGTGTAGAATTTACGGTTCCACAGGATGAATTTGATACAATTAGTAATGAACATATCGGTTTCCGATATCGTAATCTTGAACAAATCAAATATTTTCCGGAATGGAATCCATGCTCAAAGTAAGAAGCAATTCACATTTCTAATTCAAATAAATTTGAACTGTATGATTTAAAATGGAAATTTTGAAAAACTGAAATTATCTATTATATGAAATTGTGATATCCAATTATTTTGTTATAAGTAATTGATATGAAATTAATCATTTGCTCCATTTTTAGTATTTTATTTCAGATTAATTCATTTCTTCAGCTTAATATTTTGTTGCATTTCATTGAATTATTAAAACTAATTTTGGGTAATTTTTGTAAAATTTCAGAATGACAAGAAGTAATAACTTTACTCCATGTTCAAATATAAGTATTAATTGTTTATTAGAGCAAAATTTATGTCATCACTGTTGCAAAGGGAATAATGTAGATGGAACTTACCTATTACCTCCCGGAATGTTCCCGCTTGTCTGTTTCCCGGGTATCTTTTCTCTTATCTTTAAAATAACACGTAATACCTATTATTTTTGCTATATTTGATACCTTCACCACCAAATCATTTCAGCAATGTTAAATTTCTTACTTTAACTTTTTAAAATAATTACTTTTTTTTGCCATTTCTAATTTTGAAATTTTAAAAATCATCGTTAATTCATTTTTAACATCATTTTTGCACTTTTAGCATTATATGAAGGCTAAAATTACAGTATTTTTTAAATAACTTAAAATTAAAATGTAAATTCAAAATTTCACTTTTAAAAATTTGAAAGTGTAAATTATCATTGTAAATTAAACTGAAATACACATTTATTTAATTTAGGTAAAAATGAGACATTACCAATGTCAGCAATCATATCACCACCTTATTTTTCTTACTCTCCAAAAGAAGTTATTAATTCGGTAATTGGATTTCCACAATTGAATGTTAAACCGTCAACATTTACATTTACTCGAGAACCGGTAAATATCAGATTTTTGATAATTTTTTTTTTCTTTTCAAAATCAGAAATTAGTTATATTGCCATTATGAATAGTTATCTTACACTTTTAAAATTTAAAAAAATGTAAAGAAATATTGAAATTTTTTAATTTTAACATTTTTTTTCCCCCGCAGTTGACAGGATTACTGATGCAAATTAATATTCAACTGATGATATCATTTCCTATGTTTCAAACAAATGAATCAACGTAAGTTTTACTCTCTCTCTCTCTCTCTCTCCCTCCCTTTTTTAAATTTTAGAATAATATTTCAACAATAACAATTTGTTTATCAATCACAGTAATTTGAGTGCAATTAAAATTTATTATATATCTCATAAAATTTTCCAAATTTTAATTTTGAAATTACAGTAATGGAACAATTAATAGAAATATACTATGAAATTTTAAATTTTTTTTTAAAAAATACAAAATGTAAATAAAAATTTTATTTTTGTAGGATTGCAACTCGATTGCCAAATTTGATGACACCAATGATGTTAATTCGAGTGCATGGTGAACTTTCCGATGATTTCTTCGAGATGTTTTTTACTAATTTAATATTAATTCCAAAATATGTTAGATGGATAAGAATTATTTTTATTATCTCGGGAATATGCATTTTAATGGTATATGGCATTTTGACCTTAGTGAGATATTTTCAAAAGGTCAAATAAACTATAATAATATTAAAACATTCTACGTGATAGCAATTAATTGAATTATTAAATTCGATGGTAATTATTTTTTTTTTTTACTAAATTTTAAACTTTATGCTAAAAAGTTTTATTTTCTCTTTCTATAATTCAATTAATTTGTTTTTTTTAATTTTTTTTAAACTTTCTCAGTATTTATTCAAATATTTTCTTCAGATATTTCAAATTTTAATTATTTAATTTGTTTAATTTTCAATAAACATATAAAAGTAAACTTTGAATCAAATTATATTTCATTTACTGTTCTGTTATAATTTATTAATTAAAGTTAACAAATAATACAGATCGATATTTAATTTTTCAATTTCGTAGGTTTATAATTACTTTAATGATTTGTCAATTTACTTTAATTTTTAAATTTGATAAAAATGATAGTAAAATTTTTTCTTTTAAATAATTAAAATCTGAAATATTCTCAATTTTTGTTGGTTATAAACGAATGAATCATTCATAATTTTATCAAATTTGAACCTACAAATTATCATTTTCATTTATCAATTAATTTAAACTGTTTTATTTTTTTATTATAAAAAGGAAAAAAGAAATTATAATCAAAAAAGTAATTTTGCAAGTTTAAAAGAATTTTTTAATTTAATTTTCTGTTAATATTTCTTAAATTATGCTGTATTCCATTACTAAAATAAATATTTCCATGTCATTATTATCTTTCCTTCAAATATTTTATATTTATATCAAATTTGAAATTTAAATTTACTTATGAGATATGAGTCATAGCTAATTTATTTTATGTTTCATTTATTAGCATTATGCTCAATTTTATTTGTTTTTTGTTATTTTTGTTGTATATTACACATTTTGTTATCTATTTTCTCTGTTTATTATTATCCAATATGCATTCAGTGTAAATATCAAATTTTGAAAAAATTAAATTAAAACAAAATCAAAGCAAAAAGAAAAAAAATAATGGAATGCATTATATTTATTAACTAATTTCTCTTTTATGTAAACAATTTAGCATAATTAATATGTTTAATTTAATGAGGTCAAATTAATATGCTTTATTTATTTTATAAATAAAATACAATGAAAAAAAAAACACTTTTTTTTTTAATTTTTCATTTTTTTTGAAAATTTCTTAACTTTGAATAAAAATTTCAATTTTTGTTTTCTTTACATTTTTAAAAATTAAAAATTCTATTCAAGGAGAAAAAATATAACTATAGCTATCTTAGACGTATTGATTGGAATTATTTTATAAGACGTGTATTACGCTATAGTATTCACGTCATATTGCATCACGTAAAAAGCTGCATGCAAATCATTCTGTGCATTATTAGTATTTGTTGATAAGAGTGAAAAGCTTTCAAATAAGGCAAAATGCAAATGATAATAATTTCAACGTGAACGTAAAAAAAAAAAGAAAGAAAAGACTTTACTATATTTTTTCTAATTTTTTCTTTTTACTTTGTTCTTCAAATTCGTTTCTCAATGAATTTCAATAACAAACAATTACTGAAAAATGAAATAACGAAAAACAATCGAAATTATATTTTTTAAATTTTTTTTAATTCAAAATATATTTTTGATTATTTTACAAATCAATTAATTTAAAATCAATAATTGAAGCTAAAAACGAAAGTTTTCTTTTCTTTTTTTTTTAAAAAAATAATAAAAGTTATGTAATTTTAAACTACAAAACAAAATGACATCTATCAGTAATGGATTTTGTGCAAAAATTTCATTGGTATTTGTGATATAAATTAATTTAATCCAAAAAATTTTCAGTTTTTTTTTTTTTTTCAAATAAATTACATACTTAAAAAGATCACTAAATTTTGATCATTACCTAAGTAACTCTAAGTAATTGAATATTTAATCGAAAAAATAATTTACATTTTTGATAAATTACATTTTCCACAATTAAAATTTTTATCATAAATGATCTCTGACCTACTGCGAAAGTTTCAGAATATTACATTCATATTATTATCATTATCAGTGTTTCCGGAAAATGTTATCAACAGGAATGCAAATTCCAAAACCATCATTTGGTGTCCAACCATTATTGTTACATATTAATGTTGTCACACCTTCTATCCGATATCCTTTCCGGCAGCTTAAAATAGCCGTCGTACCGATTTGATAATCTTTTGTGTAATTGTTGTAAATGTAGTAAACCTGAAAATACTTTATTAACTATTTACTATACTAATTACTTTACTATGCTAATTACTTTAATGTCTATCCAAAGTAATAATTACTTTAATGTCTGTCCTTATGAACTATTATCTATCCAAATAAAAAAAAAAAAAAAAAAAAGAATTAGTCGTTTTTTTTTTGAAGTTTTATGCAAATTTCTTTTGATCAAATAATAGTTTATAAGGTGAAAAATTAAAAATTAAAAGCATTTTCGTATATTATTGTAATAAAAAGAAATATAAAAGAATAAAAATTATAAAATTATGATTAAAATAATTTCAATAATTTAAAATGTAAGAAAAAAAAAAAGTTAAAATATACTAAAAGAATATACTTTTCCATTTTGTGGAGATTTTAATGGTTCACAAGAATCATTAATTTTAATTTGTTGACAAATTCCAATTGGTGGTATCCATAGGCCATCATGACAATATGTCATTTGTTTACCATAAATTTGATAGCCAGGATTACATTGTAATTTTGCGCTTGCGCCATTTTGATACCAATTGGTATTTTCATTATTTTTATAAATTATCTATAAAATAAAGAATAGCAAAAGTTAGATTAAACTTTGTTGAATTTAAAATGGTTAAATTTATTAATTTTAATGATAAGTTCTTGAAATTTTGATTTATTAAGTTTTTTTTCTTTCATTTTTTTTTTTTTTTGAAATTTTAAAATTATCTTTGATCAGTAATTTTTATTAGCATTTTTTTCAATGAAAAAACGGGAAATACTAACTATTCCATTTGCAGGTGTAAATGATATTTTAGAACAGAAAACATCCGTTTGTTTAATATTATTTGTAATATATTGTTGGTTTTGTTCATAAGGTTGACAGCTACCAACACCAGGCCAAGGTGACCATATGCCACCTTGACAATAAGATGTTGACGGTCCCACTAATACGTAACCATCATCACAAATTAAATTTGCTATCGTATTAGCTGCGTATTTATCATTTTTACTCATATTACTATAATAAATCTGAAATTATTTTAAATTTAATTTCTATCAAATTTAAATAAATTAAAGTAAAAATGTTCTGAAAAAATATTATAAATTATTAAATTATAAATTTTCATCCAAATATTAATTATCAATTAAGAAATTTGCTGTTTTTTTGTCTTAGTCTAATTGTTATACGTTTGTTTGTATTAGCCTTAATGTTTAATCTTTTTTTTTTTTTTTTAATTTTATCTTTTTTCTTTTTTTATCTTACATTCTATTACAATACAAAAAATTTACCTTAAATTTTTAAAATTTGATTTTAAAAAATGAAAAAAAAAATTAGCCTAAAATATTTACCTTTCCATTAGAAACAGGTGGCGAAGTAGGACAGGTAATTGTTGCTAGCGTATTTTGTTTTAATCTAATTCCCAAATTATCTCTACCATAACCTGAAATAGTAAATTATCTCTATCATAACCTGAAATAGTAAATTATCTCTACCATAACCTGAAATAATAAATGATGATCAAAAAAAAGTACATAGAAGATGTGTTATTAATTAATTAAGCATAAAATTAAAATAGCTAATGTTATGTGTTATTATTAGCTAATTTGTGATATGAAACATTCTTAAATTTTTTGAAGAAATTGAATAAAATTTAAAATTTTTGTGTAAGTGTATGTATGTTAGTGTGAAAATTTTAAATAAGCAAATATAATTGAGCTGAAATAAAGAAAAAATTTGAATTTTTGGTTCATTTTTTCTTTTTTTTTTTTCGAAATATGTATAAATTATCTTACCTTCTTAATCGAACAGTTAATTACTATGAAATATCAAAGAATAAAATGTATTATTCATGAAAATATTTATAATCTTTTGTTTTTGTTTTTTTTTTTGCTTACCAAAGAAGAAATATCTTTTTTCCTCTTTTTTTTAAATCCATATTAATGTTTTAAAAATTTAAATTCTACCATTAATTAAAATTTAAATTCCACTATTAAGTAGCAATATTTATGAATCATTAGTTATTGAATATTATCATAGTGATGCAATTTACATAAACAATAAACAATTAGTTTACATTTTGTAAATGTTAGCATTATTTATACATAATGAAATAATTGCATAATTATTTTTTATTTAACTTAAAGTAAAAACAAAAAAAAGTGAAAAATCAATTTACTGCACATTGATGAAATAACATTTTATACATTCAAAAAATTTGAAATGAATAAATTAATTTAAATTCTTCTTGGTACTCAATTTATTTACCTATACCTACCATTCATTGGACATTGGCCTAATATCGGTGGATTCCATGATCCATTAATGCAGGTTGATAATTTGGTTCCTATTGGAGTTGCACCGCTATTGCAAATTAAGACCGCTGTTGTTCCACTATTATATGGTGGCAATATATTTTCCTAAAATAATAATTCAAAAAAAAAAAAAATTAATTAAAAATTCTTAAGTAACATTATTCTTCTTGGCTAATGTTTGCTAGATACTTTAGCCTTATCAATAAATACTTAATATAAGTAATAATAATTTAATTAAAACAAATAACAAAATTTATTTCATTTATTTTAAATTTTAAATTAGATTAAGAGATTACGGCAGAATATCGAATTTTTCCATTTGCTACAGCAGGTAATTCAAATAGACATTGGCCAGGAATAAAAACTTGGCTTATTTCTGGGCCAATTATACTTTGTTGACAAAAGCCTAAAGTTGGTTGCCATTGACCTAAAAAAATGAAGCAATTTTTAAATTATTTCATAGCAAAAAATATTTGTTGTACTAAAGTATTTAGGTTATACTTAAAAAAATTTTTTTCTTTTGCAATTAC